GGGTAAAACCCGTGTCATTCCGGTACGTAAAACCGGCTGTCGTGGGAAAAACTTTTGTCGCGGCAACTCGTTACTTGTAGGAGAGGGGGAGACGAGGAAGGGGGAGGGGCAACGAGTGGCTCGTGCTCGAGCAACACGCTTTGTGCTCTCGTTCGTCTGAGTAATTCTAGTTGTCCGTTCACAGCTGACAAGAACAATTGTGTACAAAAGAATTTCTCTGTGTGAACGCGAAGGGCAACACCAAAAGAGAAATTGCCGAAAATGAGCAACAAAAGTTTCTCTCTGTGTGAACCTAGTCTAAGGTTGCAGACAGAGTGGAAGCGAAGCCGAAGATGAAGATGAAGACGGCTCCGAAGACGAATTGTTTGCGTTGCGGCCAAGCTGGCGAATGTACATAGTGGAAGATGAATGATATCAAGATTGGTTTCTAAATAAAACCTTTTTTTAGATGAAATCAAAAGCAAATAAAGAAAAACAGCAATTCATGAAATAATTTGTATAGGACAACTTTTGGAGAATTTCGCCATTTCTATTATGTGTTACGACAAAGGGCAGACATTTTTCGAATATACAAGAATGCTAATTTATACGTTTGATTACATTTTGCCAAAAATTTAGCCAAATTCTTGAAAAACGCGTTTTTCACAATTGCAAACAGTTAAATAAATTGTAAACAACTCATCACAGCAAGCGATTCATCTTTGAAAACAGTACCGCACAGTTACAAGCTGACTGGTAGAGCTGTCAAACTATCGACGATACTATCGATAGTATCGATAGTCTGGTCACTTGAAATAACTATCGATAGTTTTAGTACTATCGCCACTATCGTTTCATTGATAGCGTATTCTCTTTCCTAGCGCTTTTGACATTTGCACGTATTGGTTCAACAAAACATTGCAGCATTATTTCATGAACGAACGAATAAAATAAAGATCACCCAGGACGTTGTGCGAGAGAAAAGTATGTTTTTCACAGTGACGTCATTTTTTCGCCACGGAATGAAACCATGTGTGTGAGAGAAACAACCGATTAAAAATGACGTTATCAACTATTATTTTTTTCTCAAATGCAATTTTAAATACGCGGTTGCCGCGCTGGGTGATCAGTTTAGTTGGTTCATGGCATTAGTTGCGTTCCTTATCTCCCAGAAATAGCCAGAAAAAGTCCGAAGTAGTCAGATTTAGTCCAAAAAGCGTTCCTTAACTCTAAAATAACAGCAAAAATGAGAGAGCAACACTCAGTGAGAATGACTCTCTTCAGTCCGAAGTAGTCAGATTTAGTCAGAAGAATTTTTGCTGGCAAAATCTTGAAAAGTGTCAAACTCAACTGAATTTAAATTAACGGAAATTAAATAATACGCGAAAAGTGAGAATAATGTAAAAAGTAAAAAAATTAATTGAAATTGGAAGGAAGCAAAAAAATAATTGATATAGCAAGTGCCAATATTGTGCTTGTGCTTGAGTGAATGTGTTTTGTACATACATTTCTATTCTTGTTTGACGTTAGTTTTGTTGTTGCCATTCTTTGGACTAAAAATTTGGATTTTGCGTTCATTAACTTTTTCCTGTTATTCTCTTTTAGTGAGTGCATTTTGCTTACGCTCTGACATTTTGACACTTTTCAGATTTTAGTCAAAAAAGATAAGGAATGAACGTATTATTTCTAAAAGCGCAATTTTTTATTTTAAGCGGGGGAATAGCAGAGGTTACATTGCCGTCTTAAGAGCGTGTCAGACCGGGCGATGCAGT